TTATAGCCTAGAGAAGGAAACTGACATGTTCCAGTTAACTATATTACCTGAGAGGCTGTTGCACTGTCATCTTCAGAAAAGCAGGAACTATTTTTTTTTTTAAAGTTTACTCCACAATGCATACAATGTAGTTACTATCACCAATCCTCACCAAAGCCCTGCAAAGTCAAAGTACAATTCTACATATATTTCACAGATGAGGACATTGAAAACAAGAGAGTTTGCATAACTAATTCAGTCTCATGGCATGAATGTAACAAAGGTAGCATATGAACTTCAGTGTCTTCTAACAGCGTGCATATGTTATTTCCCTTCTTGAGTGTAATCAAAAATTCGAACACAAAATTCTGTGGATGTGTGGAAGAAGACTGAATTCCAAATGGAGGAATTGTAAAAAGCTTCATGGAGGTGCACATACAACAAAGATTTGAAGGACAAAGACAGGTCTTAAAGTGGGAGGAAGAGAAAGACAAGTATCAGCAGAGAAACGGAGTGTGGCCAGGCACATGACATGAAATAACACAGAAAAGGGTCCGAGGGCCCATGTAGCTAAACGTGTAGAGTGGAATGTGATGCTGAAATATTAGGCTAGAGACAAGTGAGTGAAGGCTTTGAATGTCAAGTTAAGAAACTTAAACTTCTATTCTGTAGGCAATAAAAGCCAACGAACATATATGGGTTGTATTTGTCATTCATTTAGTCAATGTATATTTACTGATCAGCTACTATGTTTATTATGTTCAGGCTTTTTGGAAGGCTCAGGGTATACTATGGTTAAAATCAAAGAAGACAAAACCAAGACAGTGGTTCTTAAGTCTAGAAGCAGAGATAAATAGCGAGGTAGTAAAACAAACCAAAAAAACCACACACACATATTGCACTTAATATCGTACTATGAAGAAAATGCACAGAGTCTGTACCTGCGGATAATGCAGGCATGGGAAGGCCTCTCTGAGGAAGAGATATGAACTGGGAGTGAACAGTGACTGCAGCAGTACCTATGAAGAGGGAAGGGTGTCTGGGAAGGGTCCTCAGCTGAGAGACAGAAACTGGAAGAGGGCTGGCGGAGGGTGATGGGCAAGGGCTAGATCACCAAGACCTCTGGGCCACCTTAAGGAGTCTGGACTTTCTTGGTGAATGGGAAGCTACTGAAGAGTTTGAAGCAGGAAAGTGACACCGTCTTATTTTTATTTCCAAAGGTCACTGCTGCACTAAAAGAGAAGGCAAGAGTGGAAGCAGGCAGAGTAGCCAGGGATGACTGCAATGGTCCAGGAGAGGACAAGGGAGACCCCGGCTGTTCAGAGGCAGTAGAGATGGGAAGACGTATTTGTGGGAAGAGCCAACAGGACCTGCTGCCAGGTTGGATGTGGGGCCCAAAGGAGAGGAAGGAGTGAAGGATGACTCCTTCATCTTTGGCTTTAGCAGCTGGGTCAGTGGGGTGCCCTGATCTGGCATTTGAAAGAATGAGGCAGGAAGAGCTTCAGGGGAGAGAGTAGGAGGTCAGTTCGGAGCATGTTGGGTTTGAGCTATGAGACATTAAGTATCCAGGTTCTGAATCAGAAATGGAAAAAAAAAATCAGAAAATGGGAATTGTTTCCGAATTTTCAGCTCTTTGGGATTATTCATGCTACAAATTCTTGCTGACTGTGCAGTGTGTTCCATTCTGCTCAGCTCTCCACCTCTTCCTCTCTGCTCTCAGGGTGTCCCAAGGCCTTTAGGAGAATGGCAACAACTGAAGGATCCTCTGTTCTCCTGTCTCAGGGCCTCAGATCTGGGGCCTTGAGTGTGCACACAAGTGGGAATCAAGAGACCAACATGGTTTTCATCATTAACTAGCCATGTGACCTTGGGCCATTTCCCTTCACTGGGCCTAATTTCTCTGTGGGTAGATGTGGTCTCTCTCGAGTCCTTTTTCAGTTAACATGGTATATTCAAGCAAAGCCCTCAATACAATAAGCTTATGAGAAATCCCATCCTCATTCTTTCATTCACAAATATATACGGAGAACTGACCATGTGCCGTTATTTTAGACACTTGACATATACAGTGAACAAAACTGACAAATACCTCTGTCTTTATGGAGTTTAAATTCTAGCTATGGAAAACAAGCTGTAGACCTAATAATACATGTGTAAATTATATAGAATGCCGGAACGTGGTAAGTACTATGGAGTAAAGATAAAGAATAGGGTAAGGGGAGGGCTGGGGATAAGGAGAAGATCACAGCATTAAGTAGAGTGCTCAGAAAGGCCTCCTTGAGAAGGTAGGGTGGGGATGGGCTTGGGGAGATGAAGGCGCTGGCCAACATCAAAGCGGAGTTAATCCTCCTCATCTGAAACACAGCCCTGACCAGTCACTTCACAATTAGGCTCTTGCTAAATCCAACCCAATCCCAAACTGGGGATAATAATCAGCTTCAGGGACAAGTCCTCCCTCATGGGGTCAGGAACACCTCTTTCGTGGCAATGGCTGTTTTCTGTCTGCAGGTCCAAGTCCTCTTCGCCTCCCAGAGCAGCTTCGGTGGAGACAAGTCTCACACATCCTCTCGTCTGGCCTGTGGCCTCCCTTCCCTGTCCTGCTCCTCCCCTTATGGACTCATCTCTGAAGCCTTCTTCATGCTTCTCACTCCCTGCGGCTCTTCTAGAACCCTCAGCAAGCTCAGCTGGCCTGACTGCACTAAAAGGTGCTGAGCTCTGCCCCACTCCTCAGACACAATATCCCACTTCTCCTTTCCCCCTACTTGTGGGCCATAGCAGCTCTGGTTACCATCCCTATTTTGCAGATGAAAAATCAGAAGTCACTTGTCTGATGAGTCACATCAAGTATTGGTGCAAGGAGGATTGAAACCCATTTGTTCATTTATATATTCATATTGAGTGGTTTCTATGTGCCAGACACTGTTCTAGAAGCTAGGATATAACAAAGAGAAAACAGACATATCTCTGTCCTCATAAAGGTCTTTTCTTGCCATTATCTTGCTTCCAAATAAGAAAATTGAACTCCTACCTGCTCCCTGTTTGGAAACTCCCACCTAGAATTCATTTTCTGCTCATACTCCTGCCCCTCCCAGCAACAGATTATCACCATTAAAGGGGGAAGATTAATTGTGCAGAGGGATAGGCCAAGGAAAAGTGATTTCGCTTTGGTAAGGCTGACAGCGCTGCTAGAATATTAAAAGGCACCTGCCTAGGAACCTCTAGGTAAAGCCAGAAGAAAAATGTGACAATGAAATATCTTTTGTCTCTGCCTCCCTACCAATCCTCCCACAGTGTCGGACAAGTGCATGACTAAACAGATGAATCCTTCTCTGAAGTGCAGTGTGAAGGCTGCCGATGTCATTGCAGAGTCCTTTCCCATTGCAGGCAAGTCCAGAGGCACCCCCTAGGTAAGAAGACCTGTAAAAGAGAGGAGAGGGAGAGAGGAAAGGGAGATGGAGAAGGAGAGAAAGCGAAAAAGAGAGAGATGGATTAGAGAGTCAGGGATAGACAGCAGGAGAGAGGAAGAGACAAAGAGGCCGCAGAGGCAGAGACCAGAAGCGAGAGAGATGCAAACCAACAGAAAAATACGGAGAAACTGGTCAGGATGAAGCAAGAAGATGAGGAGAGAAGGATAATCAGAGAGGCTGAGAGAGACTCAGGCTTGAAAACTGAGAAGAAATGGGGTGGGGGCAGAGAGAGAGAAAAACAGAGCAAATGAAAGAAAAGGAAAGAATCAAACTGAAAGAGGCGTGAGAGAGATACAAATGTAGGCAATAGGAGAAAGGAGGGAGAAGGGAAAGAAAGGCAAAAGATGAGATAGAAAGAGACAAAAGGAAGAAGTGCAGAGAAGCACAGCTGCAGAGGACAGACTGTAAATGCGATGTGTAAGACTGAAATAGCGACAGGAACAGTGAGAGACTGAGAAGGACCGAGAGAAGAAGGTGGAGAGACACAGACAGGGACGGGAAGTGAGGCCTCTTTTTTGATGGGCGAAATGCAATTCCACAGAGTAGGTATTTCCTGAGAGGCTCACTTCACGGAGGAGGCTGGAGATGAATGCTTACACGGAAATTGTGGGAAGAGTGTCCAATTCATCACAGAATGAATTCAAGTTTGGGGTAACTATAAGGCTCGAAATTAGTTTTCCATTGCCACTGTAACAAATCACCACACACTTAGTGGCTTAAAACAACAGACATTTATTCTCTCAATTCTGGAGGCCAGAAGTCAGAAATCAGTTTCACTGGGGCCAAACTCTAGGTGTCACAGGCCTGCATTCCCTCCACAAGCTCTGGGGAGAAAACAGAGAAATAGTTGGTTTCTGGTGGTTGCTGGCTTTCCTTGCTTGTGATCACATCATTTCATCTCTGCCCCCATGGTCACATTGCCTCCTCTCTCTTCAGTGTATGTCAGATCTTCCTCTGCTTCTCTCTTCTAGGGGTACATGTGATCGTATTTAGGACCTGCTCAGATGATCAGGATAGTCTCAACCTTCCATCTGAAGAGTCTCAACCATAACATTTACAAAGACCTTGTTTCCATATAAGGTATTATTGATAGGTTCTAGGGATCAGGAACTGAATGTCTTTGGGGTCATTATTCAGCCCATTCTACACTGCCTGAGAGTTCATCGGCTTAGCTAAGAGCTGGCATATGAAGTGTCCTGGCATACCCAGGACGAAGGTGCTGGGTGTCAGGGGTGGAATTCTGGCTCTGTGTGAGACACCTTGCTGGGTGCCCCACCAACTCCACCCCACCTGACCTACACAAGCATCAAGTGGATTTACCAGGACTCAGACCCAGATATGTCTAATTTCAGAGTGCTTTTTGCTGGCATTATTTGCTGCCTCTCAAGGGCAATGTTGCCTACTTTACCTCTTAAACATAGTAAATCTGCTGCTCCCCTTCCTCCACTGCTATTGCATTGTTCGGATCCTTGTCTCTTATCTGAACTATTGCTTCAGCGTCCTAATTGGTCTTCTGGCTTCTGGTTTCTCTCCATTATTGCTGAGAATGATGTTCTCACAGTTGCTGACCTTGTCACTTCCTGACCTATAACCCTACACTGTCACCTCCAAGGTAAGATCTAAACTCTTAGATCTGGCTTTCATGACCTTCCATAAGCTCCTCTAAGCCTTATCTCCTGACACTGTATTCCATTGTGCGTGTATTTAGAAGGCCAGGTTTAAAGTCCACAAAGCGTGGGTTTTAATCCTGGCTCCTACATGTTTAGCTGTGTGAACCTGGGCAGGCTATTTACTGTCTCTGAGCCTTAGTTTCCTCATCTCCACAATAGATAATGCTTCCTACCTCAGGATTATTGTGTTGATTAAAAATTATATATCCAAGGTACCCAGTACAATGCTGGTATGCAGTAGCTTTTTTATTATCATTACTACATATGAAACTGTCATCTCCAACAAGGTATGAGCTCTTTAAGGACAAGAATGTGTCACGTTCACATTTGTTTCCAGAGTTATTTAGCACGTTAGGCCTATGAACAAAGATAGGGAGAAAAAGTAAGACTAAAACAAATCAAGATGAGAGAGAGATAAAGAAAAGGACAGAGAGACAGAGGCAGGGAGAGATGAAGAAACTATTTGTAAAATTCTGTGTTTTCTGGATGTTCGGTATAACGCCTTGTAGGTTTCTTCCACGCTGTGTGCCTCGGTTTCCTCTCCTGTAAATTTGGCGGGCAGTTGAACTCGATGATCTCTAGTTCTAATTCTCACTCTCTGCTCTAGCCTGGGAAAAGTGTTTCCCTGGAGCAGGGGATACCCTTTCTGACCAAGCCGATGAGAGGCAGCTTCATCAGGTGTCCAGTGCTGCCCACCACCCTAATGGGGTCTTTTGAGGAGAAGCCAGGTTAGAGGCTGGTGGGCTAGAACAGATGGAGAGCTGACCTCAGTTATAATGTGCCTGATTCTGGATGGGATAACCTTGGCGAGTATTTGGACTTTAGACCACATTAGGCAGGTTGCTCTTATTCATTCACTCATTCATTCATTTTTTATTTATTTTTCATTCATTCATTTATTTTTGAGACGGAGTCTTGCTCTGTCACATAGGCTGGAGTACAGTGGCGCGATCTTGGCTCACTGCAACCTCTGCCTTCTGGGTTCAAGTGATTCTCCTGCCTCAGCCTCCCTAGTAGCTGGGACTACAGGTGTGTGCCACCACGTCTGGCTAATTTTTGTGTTTTTAGTAGAGACGAGGTTTCGCCATGCTGACCAGGCTGCTCTCAAACTCCTGACCTTGTGATCCATACGCCTCAGTCTTCCAAAGTGCCGGGATTACAGGCATGAGCCAATGCTCATTCATTATTTATTACTCATTGATTCATTCAACAGATAAGTTATCAATCACCTCTTCTGTGCTGGGCCATGTAATAGGTATATAGAACATTCACACTGGCTATGTAGAGTAATCAAAACAGGGATGACTGTGCTCTCAATCTGTTTATAGTCCAGGTATTATTGACATGTTTGGCTAAAAGATTCTGTGTTGTGGGGACAGTCCTGTGCATTGTAGGGTGTTTAGCAGCATCCCTGGTTTCTCCCACTAGATGTCAGCAGCATCCACCTCATTGTGACAACCAAGTGTGTCTTCAAACATTGCCAAACATTCCCTGGGGCAAATGCACCTGTGGGTGAGAACCACTGGTCTACCGGTTGTACAGTATCTGGTGGAGATGCAGCAAGTGACATGAGAGAGGTGGGCCGGATCTTGACTGGGAAGGGTCTTGGCTTCCCTACTTGGAAACAAGTAATCCCTGAATGGATCCCTGGAGACAGGGAAGGGGAGAGGGATCCCACTCACAGGCTGCATTAATCTGGTAGACTGTTATCTATTACTCCTCCTCATTACTTTGGCAGGGAAGAGTGTCCTCCCTCCATTTCTAGCACACCTCAATACCCGAGATGCCTCTCCCTTCTCTACTTGCCCAAGACTGCTGGTATTTATAGCTTGTCTGTCTAACTCAGACCCACTTCTCACTCAAGAGGGAAATTAATCTCTCTCTCCAGATCCCACACTATCACTTGCCTCATGGCTTCCTCATTTGCCTGCTCTTCCAATCCAGGCACCAGCAATTTCCCAGCTGTGCCTCCCTTTCTCCACTGACAGTTGACCATGGCTCTGAAAATTGGCTCTTGGAATCAGTTGTGCCTGCCCAGCTGGGCCCCAGCTCAGCAGTGCCTGGGACTTTGATGCAGTTCAACCTGAGAGGGGGCTCTGCTTTTCTGAGAGATACTCAGCTCCTGCTTGTCTCACATATATTTTTAGAAACTTCAACTGGATGCACAGTTAAAAATGAGACTGAAGACCAAAGTAAATATTTGCATAGCAGGATCTTGGAGTGGCAGGGAAGAGAGAAGGAAGAGAGGAGTTCTGATGGGCCTGGCTTCAGGCCTCAGCTCTGTTTCTGAGTATTTCTGCACTTGCTTGGGGCAAGTCTCCTCTAGGTATCAGTTTTCCAGTCTGTAAATTTGGAGGAGGGATTAGCTTGTGGATGAAATGTTTTGAAACATTTCAGCTCTGATGTTCTGTGAGCCTGTATATCAGAAGGGCCATTAAGGGGTTCCTGAACCCTCTGATAGTACAGACAAACTATGTAAATTTTCTGGGGAAAGTATTCATAATTTTCTATAATTTTCAGAAAAAATCAGCATCTTCTAAAATGTTAAGAATCTCTGCTCTAGGTCTATGGATAGAGATAATTGAGTTTATCACCACCTTCCTGGTAATATTCCTTCTTCTCATTTTCTGACCTGTTCCCTTGTTACAGTCTGACTCCTCTGGGATTAGTGAGAATCTGGCAGAGTGCGGGGGAGTAAAATCAAGTTAGACTTGAAATGGAATGAACAATATGAAGAATCTATCCTGACTGCATCTGCATTAACTTAACTAAAAAACCTCAAAGAGTCTGGCGGCCCAAGTCTGCCGCAGGGGTCAAAGAACAGTTCAGCAAAGATGATCCCTAGGAAGTGACTGCGAAACTCTGCTGAAATCTGGGCCATTCTGTGGGTGAGAACTGGGGTTCAGTCCTTTTCTGGGAAGCATCAAATCCTGGGCTCAGAACTTAAAAGACCCACTATAGGGTTTGCTGGAGGGACAGGACATGGGGTCCTCCACCTTTAAAAGAAGCCCACTCTCCTGCCCTTGTGTCTTCACCCCTGATTAGGCCTGAATCTGAAGCACTTACATGGATTAATGGAATGAGCAATGTTCTGTGAATCAAGAGACCTATATTTGAGCATCAGCTTTTACCAAATGCTGTATGCCTTGGGCAGCCTTGGGCAGGTCACTGACCCACTCCTGGGCTTCAGTTTCTCCATTTAGATGATAAAGAGGTATTGGCTTGCTTCACAGTTTCACCAAAGAATGACTGTTATTATAGTGACACTCCATTTTAATACCTCGTTACTGGCCATTTCCTTGTGTTTATTCCTCATTTTGAGACATCCTTGTTATATTTCAAGCAAACCAGCAATGAATCCCATGCCTAGGAAGGGTGGGATGATAAACTTAAATCCCAGTCTTTAGGACCCTCCTGGCTCTAACATTTTATGATTTTTTTTCTGCTCTGATGTTACTTTCTTTTTTAACTGTTGTTCTGAACTTAAAACTTAGGAAATGAAATTAATGTTGATGATCATGGACTGTTTTCCAGGTACTGTGCTAGTTTCATTTATTACAAGCAAGGTAGATTTTGGTATCCTTGTGTTACAGGTTAGAAAACTGAGGTTCAGAGATGTCAACTTTCTAATACCACTCAGTTAGCAAGCGGATGGTTAGGACTTAAACTCGGGTCTGTCCTATTACAAGGCCTGTGGCTTGAAAAAATATTTCTATGCTATAATTCTTTATTGTTTTAACTTTCTTAAAATTAATTCATTTATTCAATATTTATTGAGTACCTGCTGTATAAGGTACTGTACTAGACGCTATGGGTTTAGAGATGAGAAATCAGTCTGTTCTTGAGCAGCCTTTAGAGAAGATACGTAAATAAAAGTTGCAAGTTAGGGCAATGACACTATGGCAGAGGGAAATAAGGGAAGTCAGGGTGCAAAAAATGGGATTTAGTATTGGAGACACCCTGGAAGCTTGTCAGAATAGGAAACACCTGAGCTGAATGGTGGGGGTAAGATTGTCTTTTTCTTTTTTTACTGAGATAACTCTTCATTAAACAAGTTAGTCAACAATTAGTTCAGAATCTATGATGTACCAGATACTTTTCTAGTTTCAGGAACACAGTTGCGTACAACGACAAACTCTTGTGGAGCTCACAAGGGAAGAAAGGCAGTAAACCAACCAACAAATACAGTATAAGATTGAAATCCAGGTGACTTGGAGGAAAAGTAAGACTTGGTCAGGTAAAGTTGAATGGCATGAAACAGCATCCTGAATAAAGGCAGAGGCATGTGCAAGCATGCTGAGGCACGACGATCCCTTCAAAGATGTTTGTCATGGCTGGAATATCTTCTAAAAGATGAAGAAGGAAGTAAGAGAAAAATGCAAGCACAGATCATCATGAATGCCTTGTGTGATGTTATGAGTATGAACTTTCTTCTGCAGATAATGGGAAGTCAGGGGAGGGTTTTAAGAGACAGAGACACAATGCTCAAATTTGGTTCCAGGGTGATTTCTCCTGTGACCCTGGTGAAGGGGGATTTGGAGGGGACCCAGACTATAGACAGGAGGAAAGGTCCTGGTCCAGGGAGAATGGTGAGTGGGCCTGAGCTCAGGCACTATCAGGGGAGTTGTGAGAAAGACAAAGAATTGGAAATATTTGTCTAGTAAGAAAGATGATACTTGGGTGCTGGAAGAGGTGACTAGACTAGGAAAAGTATCAAGAACAGCATACCAGGTTCCTGCCTTGGAGAACTATGTGGTGGTGTCCCCATCAACCTTGGGTAGGAAGTCTAAAGGTGGCAGGGAGCTCTGTGTTCCCTAGAGTACTTTCCATCTTACCCTTCTTAGTAGTAATGTTGCCTAATTTTATTTTACTGTACCAATGTGCCAAGTGGCTATTATGATTCCTATAGTGAATCTCCATTAAAAGGACCAGTTACTGCAATTTTCCTGTATCTAATGCTCTTCTGCGGATATGTCAAGCAAAGCTGACAATGATCCCACTCACAGGATGGGTATGAGGTTGGCCTTAAACTCCCCATGAGGCCAACATATTTATCCAGTCTTTAGGACAGAATATGTTTTCTCTGGAACTTTTCCTTTCTCTTCCATTCTCACTCCCCCACACCTCTGATGGGCCAGCAGGCCTGTCTGTCTGACTGACTGCCTCCTTCTCTTTCATATATGCTAATCAGGATCCAGTCACTGTCAGGATATAAAACATGCCTGTTCCATGTCTCATTCCGTCCTGATCCATTTTAGTAACAATAAGAACAAGCATATTATATCCCACGTGCTCATTCATCCCATGGACAACAGGATTTCTTAAAACAGTTCTATGCTGTTTGTCATGTTTCCTCTGTGGCAGGGCCTCTGCCCAAGACTGTTCCAAACCCCCCTGCCTTGTTGCCTCTAAGTAAGTAACTCCTACTAATTCTTCAGACGTCAACTCCAGTGCCACTTTGACAAGAGAGCCATCCCTGACCTCTGCGCTGAGTCAGTCTGCCATCCTGTACTCTCCCAGAACTTCCTGGCACTCCTTCACAGTTCTGTCACAGTGGTGACTTTACATTGTATGTGTAATTTTTGAGAAATATCTATTTCTTTTTTGTTTTGTTTTGTTTTTGAGATGGAGTCTCACTCTCTAGTCCAAGCTGGAGTTCAATGGCACGATCTCGGCTCACTGCAACCTCCACCTCCTGGGTTCAAGCGATTGTCATGCCTCAGCCTTCCAAGTAGCCAGGACTACAGGGGCACGCCGTTGAGCCTGGCTAATTTTTTGTATTTTAGTAGAAACAGGGTTTCACTATGTTGCCCAGGGTGGTCACAAACTCCTGAGCTCAGGAGATCCTCCTACCTCGGCCTTTCAAACTGCTGGGATTACAGGTGTTAGCCACTGTGCCTGGCCAAATACCTGTT